GTATTTCATTTCTCTTATCCTGACACTTTTCTTCTCTTGATCGATGTGACCCAACACACTTAGAGTCCTGTCTTCTCACCCTTCTCTTACAGGGCATCCTCCGCCTCTAGGCCTCCAAAAGTTTCGGGTTGGAACGCCTTCTCATTCTGTGCCCTTGGTTTTCGACTTCCTTGCTCACTGTCTCAGCTTTCACTACCATGTATATGTCCGCCTCCCAAACTTACATTCTGATTCCTGACCGCGTTTCTGAGTCTCAAACCTGCATGTAACTACTGCAAGGGTAGTGTTTTTAAAAGTGGGAGTTAGGGAGCTGGCATTTGAGGTTTAGGAGACAGAATATAAAATAAGGCAAAAAAGCCAGAAGCAATGTGGAACTAAGGGAATTTGTTTCCGGTTTGGGGGGTTTTGCTTCTTTCACTGCAGTAGCAGCTGCTGCCTTTTTTGGTCTCATCTTCCTCTTTTTTTTTTTTTTTGAAATATTTCCTAGTTCTAGCAACTCAGTGGAGATAATTAAAGATTCAGACGTAGTTCCAAAATCTTAGGAGACAGACTCATTATCTTGTGGTTTGCTCAACTGTGCTGGGATGTTGTCGGCAGGGGAGTGGACGTCAGACTGGACAGGGAGCCTAAAGGGGAGTGGGTGCTCCAGGAGGAGATCTAGGGAGTGGGCCAGAAAGTAACTGGCATTTCTAGGTGGGAGACTGTGCGTTTGCATTGGTTTAATTCTCCTTGGTGATGCAGTGTTTCTCCAGCAATACAGAGGCTTGCAAGTAGGGAAGAATATTGGTTTAGGTTGGGGGGTTTGCTGGACTGGTTCAGCAGAAGGTTGATATTGCAAGGAGATTAAGGGCACTGATATTTTTAAAAGTTCAAATAATCAACCACAGGATCCATACTGGGTAGTGAAAAAAAAAGAGAGAGAGACTGGAAGGGGGTGGGTACCCTAGGGGAGGATACAGGAAGGAAGGGATGCGGTGTCTGAATCTGAACCTCACTTGTCATGTTACGTGAACAGTGGAGACCTGGGACACAGGAGGCTGTGGTCAGAAAATGGAAAATTGGAAACTCTCTAAGACCAAATAGTTCCAGTTTTTAAAAAGTTTGTGGTGTATTTCTAGGAGTAAGAGCAGTACTTTGCTAAGATTAATAAAAACACTTTTGTTATGCTAAACTAACATCCCTAAAATGTCACCAGCCTTAAGTTAAATAAACCATTGGAATAGGGGTTTTCTTAAAAGTCAGTGACTAGCACATTGTTGTTATGTTGAAATTCCTGTTTGGATTTTGAGTGGTTGCCCTAGAGAGACCATACTTAGAATTAGGCTCCACTATTAAGCAGTGATGTCTTTCCATCCCCTCTGTTTCAAAGCTCCAGGCTCATTTTATGGCATTAGTTTCTTATCTAACATTCTGAGTTCGGTGCTTTTACTCTTGTAGCCAAACCTGTGTTCTTTGGAATGTGTTCGCTTAAGTTAAAAGAGAATCAGGAGAACCAGGTTGCAGTCTGTTCCCTTTCCCCGCTCCTTGTTCTTGTAAAGTCAGAGTGGGCCGCACCCTTGCCAGGCCCTGGACGCCCATTCCCAGGGGCTGGTAGAGGTGGAGAGGCTCCGGGCCAAGCGCGGAGAGGGACGCAGACGAGTGGTGAGCTGGAGCCGGCCGGGAGGTGTGTAGGGATTTTGTGGTACGCTTGCTGAACGCAGCCATCATTAAAAAGTAAAGCATACGAATTTACGAGTAAGTGAATTGTATTAAAAACAAAGGTAATAAGTATGTATAGCTTCTGGTAGTTATTTTACTGTGTAACTGTCATCTGTGCTCCTGACGTTACGTCTATCTAGTCTGTGGTGTGGGTTGAGTACTATGTTAACAGGCTGCTCTGCCGGCACCTCTTTTCAACTCTGTGTTCAGTTGTGGTGCGTCGGTAACTGGAACCCAGCCGTGTTGGCAATGTTTATACCACAGACACCGGCAAATGCTGTAAAGCAAGGCCTTTGCCCCTGCAGAGCGAGCTTTTAAACATTTACCAGCACAGTAAGGAATAGAATAGCATCTCTGGCTTCTTCTCACTTCACCTCAGACATGTGGGGGGGAAACTGCCAAATCTGAAGCTTCTCTCTCCCTCCTTTATGCCCACCCCTGTCCTGTTCCGGCCTTCTCTTTTCCTTCTGTTACTGTATTTTCAGCACCTCCTCCTCTACCCCCATGGACCTAGATGCTGGGCTTTTCTTTTTCTTCTATCCTCTTCCCAGAGTAGAAGGTCGTTTTGACTCCTGCCAGCGTACCGACATCCCCTTCCCTTCCCAGCCTTTAAATGAGAGCTCTAGACAACGCCACTGCTGCAGAAAGTAATGCACGCGGCAGGATGACACAGTTCCCGGGTCTTATTGCTAAGAGTTCCAGTCTCTTTTCACATTGAATGTTTTGAGTGTGTTAGAACTGTTTATATTTGGTGAAATATTAGCTTGAGTACGTGTCAGAAAAGTACAAATGTCCATTAACTATATTTTTAGGGTTAGTTACATTATGTATAAAACATTCAATAACTGTTTTAAGTGTTTCATTTAAAAGAGTTTTAGTTAGGAGTGCTTTTGGCCTCAAGAAACAGTAAAATGAACAGAAAAGGAGACATTGCTGTGGTTGGGCCAGCAGCTCAGTGACGCCAGGCAGAGCTCTCTGCGGTTCTCTTGGCCTTTCTTTAAGGTCCAGTGATGGCCACTTCAGATCCAGTTCTGGACCCACAGACAGCGCAGAGAGAAGAGACAGCAGTGGCAGGAGAGCTGCTTTATATGTCCCGTGACTACATCTGGATGCAAGCAGTCTGGGAAACTGAGTTTTAGCTTAGCTGGTGTTTAGTAATACTGTACTTCACAGTGAAGCGAGACAGGTGAGCGGGGACTGGCGTCCCGCACCGGACGGCCCTGCCGTAGACCCCTGCACGCTGCATGGTAGCTTCCCCCAGACACCGAGACTGCTGCGCTGCGACAGCGCTGAAGGGTGGAAGTGTAACCAGCGTCTAGTAGCATAAAGCTTTTCAGTCTTTGTGAAGAAGTAATGGAAAGCCGGTTTTATTTGCCAGAAGGTACGCCAGTTTAGAAACCAGGCTAGGTGCCGTCACACAGATTATTGAGGTAGCTAATGTTGGCCTCATTTTCACAGAGGAAGAAGCAGATGTTAGGCAGTTTGCTCCGGATCACAGAGCCTAGTAAACGGATGGGCCAAGATTAGCACCTGGTCTTTTCTCTGCAGCAAATTGCAGAAAATGTTTATAAATTAAAGTGAACTAGAATTTCATGGAAAAAGCGATATTTGGTAGCGAGGAGACTTGAGCACACCACGCCGGGGTGACAGGCAGTATGTGTCACCTCCGGGCAGTGGTGGGGGGAGGCTGGGGCTGGGGCCGCTCCGCCTCCTGGCGGAGGCGCTGGCGCAATGACTGAGCGAGAATGCTGCACAAGTTCCTACTGTGTGCATCTTGCTTATACTCATCTATTCGGTTCTTGTAACAACCCTTGTGAGTTAGGTGAGCTATATTATGTGTTCAGGTGAGGAACCTGAAACACGGAGGCTGAGTTGTAAACCCGCCACAGTAAGTGGCAGACCTAGAAGGGGACTCTTAGTCTTGAGACTACACTTAACTCTCTCACTGTAACTGATTGGTGCAAGAGAGAATGAGAAGGATTTTTCAGGTTGATTCTTGTCTGGGTCTGACCAATCTTGGAAGAATTTCTGTTTGTTTACTAGTTAACTAGGAAGTTGAGTAAAATATGATACAGAATTTCACCAATGAAACAAACACGTAGAACATCATTTTGGAAGGCAATGCAGACGGACTATAAGAATCCCAAATTTAGCTCTTTCAGACAAAATGGATGATTTGCTAATAACACCTTTTCAGCTCATGATAACTAGTTACATCTTAATAGTTTTAAGAACTACCGTGGACTGTTGATCAAGACACTGAAGTAAGAATGCGGCACATGAGTACGTGAAAGTGATCCCGCACAGACGGTGCTGCACAGCTTAGAGCTTGGTGATGAGTCAGGCTGTTGGAAGACCAGGCCTTCCCTCCCAGAGTCTGTCAACAGGGGGATGTTCAGAGCGATGGAGTTTTCTTGTTTCATCTTCAGCATGTGCCGCTTGGCAGCCTAATTATATTCCTGTCTAAGAAAACATCTATAAATATTGGTAAAAATTTTCTTTTTACTGTTGTTTCCTGGCTGTTTATCTCCGTATTCATTCTGTCAGCTGTGCAGTGTCTCTGGGTGATCTGGGGCTCAGTTTTTCCCTAGAACAGCTCCTTGGGCATCTGCCCAGTGCCACAGGCAGCTCTGCTGCCACGTCCAGTTGGTGTGTGTTTCAAGGCCGGCGTCTGTCATCACTGCTGAGGGTGGGTTTTCTTCTCCTTTGCGTTCCTCTCTACACCTGTCCACACACAACTGGCTCTTTAACAACAGTGAATACCCGGATTTTAAGTGAGCGATTGTTTCACGAATTTCTTTCTGTCCTGTCATTTTCCATGGAACCTGTGGGAGAATGAAGAGAAAATCCACAAAAAATTTGAATATGGTTTAGTTTTGACTTTTAAAAAATCATGGAGAAGTCAATAAATATGCAAGTTAGCAGGGGAGATGTCAACACAGCTAGATTGAAATTTCAGCAAAGTACCTTATTAAGAGGTATAAATTATACCTCTTGCATACATAGGTTGGGATCAGACTAAGTATTTTAATTGATGTAAAAAAAAGGTGGGGAAATTAAAAGCTAAAACTAGCAAAGCAGATAGATATTTGGACAAATAACACACACAACTCTGTATACTCATAGCAACAGATTGTTTTATTATTTGTTTGTGCAATTGGCGTTGTCTGTGATTTAGAGTCTTGAAGTAACAGAATCACTGGGAGGGGCTTCGGAGCACATTACTGGAACTGAATTGGCAGTGTTCACACGCGGTCTGTTCTGTGGTTTAGAATCCTCTCTTTGCTGCTTTTCTTCTTCAGGTGGGACTCTTCCCTGGACACTGTGTTGAGTTAATTAATCAGAAAGTTCCCCAGTCAGTGACCAACTCCGTGCCAAAACCAGGTGAGTATGCATTTTCATTAGTGTGGTTATTTATCAAAATAAAGATACAGATTTTCTCTTCCAGTCAGCACATAGCTTGGTTAGCTGTTCTTTGCATGTATTGTCATAGTATGCATTCCTAATTGTATGTGGTTTTGATTTTTAATATATTCTTACTGATAATTTCACAAAGGTTTACATGCATTCAGAATTTCAGACAATTTTAAGAACTATTTGCTCCATTAAGCTGTGTCATACTTCTTTTTACAATTATGTAGTAGGAATACAGCTTATTAATGAGGAATAAAAAGATGAAAGAAAGTACTAGGTTTAAAGAACTGACATGGAGAAAATATGATTTGCTGAAAATTGATTAATGAGGCGAAGTTATGTTTTATCCATACCTGTGAACATCAAAACTAGTTTAAACAGCGTTTCTTTTTAGTTACATGGTATATTTACAGTGCTGTATAAATAAGTGGAGTATCTTACAGGTAATTAAAGCAATGTGTTACGGGTGGTAAAAATCAAGAAAATGGAAGTTTTTGTTTTTATTGAGATGATTTAATCCAGACACATTCTACAGAATACCTCGTCTGGAACTTTTTAATGTGATGTAAATTTTTAAAAAGAAAGTAAAAACAAAGGCTAAAAGATTTTGGGAGGCGGGAAAGTAATTACATTTATTGCTCTTAGTTGTGTTACATTCCCTCTGCCCTTCTCCACCCTCGACTCCCTCCCCCCAGTGAAAGAAATAGAAGAAAATTTCTGGGCCTCAGAATTTATTTGGACTATTTTCTTTAAAGTATCTTCTAGGCTTAGGACCTGTGTGCAAGAATTAGGGAAAAAAAGTTTATTTTTTGTTTAGTGTATTACCGCCTCTGCCCCCAAAGCATTCATCAAACCATTTTTGCTTATGACATTTAGGTAAACATAAAGGGCGATGACCCCTTTCAAAGCCTGTTTCTTCATAGACAGGGAGTCCGTGTTCCAACTTTTCTCATAGGAATTTTAAAATTCTAGACAGACTGCTTTTATTGTGCAGAAGGAAAAATACTCCAAAACAGTGTTCTCTGCAGTTCTGCTTGAGACGGGATTCTCAGTCTTCTTTCAAGGCATTTTTATCCTCTGTTAAACCCCTTTTCTTTAGGTAAACTTAATTAAACATAAAAAGACTATCTCAGTGGCTCCTTGCTTGTTCATTAGTGGCTGTGATAGCTATAGGTTTCTTTCCTTCTTTAAGTATGGCATCAGTAACTTAAAAAAAAACAACCCCATACCCATTAGCAGACACTGCCCCATCCTCTCCCTTCCCCCCAACCTCCTAAGCAACTACTAACCTACTTTATGTCTCTGTAGATTTTCCTATTCTAGACGTTTCACATAAATGGAATCACACAATATGTGGTCTTTTGTGACTGGCTTCTCTCACTCGGCATACTATTTGCAAGGTTCATCGCTGGATGAGTGCTTCAGTCTTTCTTATGGCTAAATAATGTTCCATTGTATGGCCATACCGTATTTATTTCATCCACTCACTTTGGGTTTCCATTTTGGGCTAGTATGAACAGTATTGCTATGAACACTCATGTGCAGATTTTTGTGTCAATGTGTGTTTTCATCTCTTGAGGCTGTATCTAGGAGTAGAATGGCTGCGTCATGTGGTAACTCTGTGTTTAACCTTTTGAGAAATTGCCAAACTGTTTTACAAAATAGCTGGACTGTTTCACAGTCCCACCAGCAGTGTGTATGAGAATTCCAGTCACTCCATATCCTTGTCACTGCTTTTTTGGTTATTGCCATCTGACTGGGTATGAAGTGATACATCTTTATGGTTTTGTTTTTCGTTTCCCTGATGGCTAATAATGTTGAGCATCTTTTCTCATACTTATTACCTATTTGCATATCTTTGGAGAAATGTCTGTTCAGATCCTTTGTCCGTTTTTAATTGGATTATCTTTTCATTACTGAGTTGTAAGTTTTCTTTATAAATTTCAGATACAGGTCCTTTATCAGATAAAATGATTTGCAAATATTTTCTCACATACTGTGATTTGTCTTTCCTTTTCTGGATGGTGTCTGTTGAGCCATAAGCATTTTTAATTTTGATGAAGTTCAATTTATGTTTTCTTTTGTTGTTTATGATTTTGATGTTTTATCTAAGAAGGCTTTGCTTATTAACCCAAGGTCAAGATTCACTTCTGTATTTTCTTCTAAGAATTTTATAATTTTAGACCTTACATTTTGGTATAGTGATCCATTTTGAGTTAATTTTTGTGTATGGTGTGAGGTTCAGCTCCCTTGGATATCCAGTTGTCCAAGCACTATTTGTTGGAAAGGTTATTCCTTCCACCACTGAATTGACTTGACTCTCATAAAAAAATCAGTTGTCCTTAGACACGTGAGTTTATTTCTGGATTTTCAATTCTGTTTCATTGATCTGTATGTCTGTTCTTATGCCAGTACCAGCCTGTCTTGATTACCATTGCTTAATAGTAACTTTTGCAATTGAAAAGCCTTCCTGCTTTATCCTTTTTCAGGATTGTTTTGGCTTTTCTGGGTTCCTTCCAATTCCGTACGAATTTTAGAATCAGCTTGTCAGTTTCTACCAGGAAGTCAGCTGGGATTCTGATTGGGATTTGCTGAATCTGCGTATCAGCTTGGGAAGTATTACCTTCTTGTCAGTGCTTGTTTGGTCTTCAGTCCTTGAGCATGGGATATTTTTCCACTTGATTAGACCTTTAATTTCATTCAACATTTTGTAGCTGTTTTAGAGTATAAGTTGTACATATCTGTTGTTAAATTTATTTTTATTTGTTTTGATGCTACTGTAAATAGAATTATTTCCTTAATTTCATTTTCTTCTTGTTCATTGCAAGTGTATAGAAGTGCAGTTAATTTTTGTATATTATGTTGTAGCTTGAAATCTTGTTGAAATGTTTATTAGTTTAATGGGTTTTTTAGTGGATTCCTTGGGATAATCTATGTACAAGATCATGTCATCTGTGAACAGAGATATGTTTACCTTCCTTTACAGTCTGGATGTTTTTCATTTCTTTTTCTTGCCCAGTTGCCCTGGAGATGCTACAGTGTTGAAAAGAAGTTTTGAGAACTTGTCTTGTTCCTGATCTTAAGAGAAAGCATCTAGTTGTTTTGCATTAAGTAAGATGTTAACTGTAGGGTTTTCAGATGCCTTTTATCAGGTTGGGGAAGTTCCTTTCAGTTCTTAGTTTGTTGAATGATTTTTATCATAGAAGGGTGTTGGATTTGGTCAGATGCTTTTTACCTGTCTGTTGAACTAGTCATGGGGTTTCGTGGTAACTATTTTAAAGTTACTAAAATTCAACATCAAAAATTTTTTCTTGTGCATTATTTCTATGTGTTTCTGCTGTATGAGCTTAACTTTTATTCATTATCAAGTCTTATCTTGGATAATTTTGCCTCAGCGATAAATACTGTAAATGGTTTTTAAAAGTTAGCTTAATGTTAGTGTCAAATTGTGTCAATGAAATACTTTCTTATGTTCTAAATGTGAAAGTGAATTTCCAATAGTGATAACCTCCAAAACTTTTAACATTTGAGAAAGTTAATCAGTTATTGATAGTTCTGAAAAATAAGTTTCTGTTAATAGACCCGAATGACATTGTTAATTCTGAATTAGTAATGACATATAATGACAGAACACCTTCAAAAGCTAATATTTTATTGTGAACAGCATTGCAAGGTTGGCCTAGGGAAATGTGCATTCTTAATTCATTTAGGAAAGGATGATGTAAATTCTGTCAACCTTAGGCTTGTTTCACACTTTAAAACTGTCTTTGCCTGCAGTACAAATAACTTGAATGTTCTATTTATTTTTAACATTGCCATCTGTCACTGTTAGATGCCAAATCTGAAAGATGCAGCTATAGTTTGAGCCTGTAACTTAAAGCTCCCTATGTTATTATACAACAAGGGCAAGAGGGAGAGTTTCCCCTTTGGAGCTCTTCTGGATGTTCTCAGTGTGTTCAATTATTTGTGTGTGGTAAAAATAAAATCAACGAATCACCATTGCCTGACCAAGATAGCATGTATCCATGGTGCCTTAAGGAAAAGAACGTGTGTGTGTGTGTGTGTGTGAGAAAGAAAGAGAGGGAGAGAGAGAGATAGAGAGAGGGAGAGAGAAAAGAAGAGGAAGGAAAAGGGGAAGAAAGGCAGAAGCTTGTCCCTAAGAAATTGGCATTTAGTTTGATGGAAGATGAGGCTGAGATGGAAGGAAGATGAAGGAAGCACATGAGGATTTCTTTGTGTTCGTCCTGGTTGGAGTTTATGGAGCAGTTTAATGGTTATTTATTGATGTCTTTCTTCAAGTTCTCAGCTGTTCACCTCAAGCATTTCCTCTGCACACCTCCCCCAACCGCAGCTCCTTCGCATGCCAGCTGTGTCTCTGGTGTTGCCACGCTCCGCTCTCCAGCCTGAGTTCCTCGTGTCTACCTGCCTCACAGCTCACTGACTCTTCCCGCTGTGCAGCTTCCCTTTACTCCATCTAACAATGGGGTTCTCATGTCAGATATTTCATATCTAGGATCAACTTTGGTCATTTTTATAATTTCTTTGTGGGATCTCCCATCTTCCCACATTATCTACCTTTTATTCCAGAAGGAGAGGGGTGGAGGGAGGGAGAGTGAGGAAGGTGGAGAGGGGGTGAAGAGAGAAGAAAAGCGAATTTTTTTTTGTTAGCAGACATGGAAGTAGCTGAGGCTTTCATTTGAGGAAAAAACCTAGTAATTAGATGTAATGCTGATGAAATCCTTATATTAATTTAAGAAGTAGCTTATAAGGTAACAGATTAGCCTGAATTTGTAGTATAATTTTGAAATAAAAAAGTCTTTGCATTATTCTTTTAGGAAACTGGTCCTCTAGTATTTTGCTTTTTGTTGTTTTATTTGCAACTTTTCGTAATTATAGTTTTTTCCTTTATTTTCATGTTTGCTTCTGGACTGTTCTGTTTTCTTTGAGTTTCTAGCACTTTGCTCTTCTGT